CTGCGGGAAAGATAAAGGTGACCTCGTGCCTTCATACAAATGCCTTCCCCCAACCTGCAACATGCAAACCGACCAAACTTGCTCTTCCCAGAGCAATCATGGAGACAGACATCATGTCTCACGACGATCTCGCGAAGTTTTGTTTTCCCCGAAGTCCAAGCACCTTAGTTCAGGTCTAGTTCGAGTCATCTTCGTGTCCTGGTTTTTCGGATCCTGAAAGCCGCGGCAGGACTGGGACATCTCTTGCCGCCTCGGTTCTGGGAGCTCGCCGAGACCAGCGCGGCTTGCGTGGCCAAAGACTTCTGACCGACCCGGGATGGCCCAAGAACCGCAAAGGATATGGGTTTTGTAACTTGCATTTACGACTTGCTTGTTTAGGTATGTAGCGGTATGCATGCATGTCTTCATGGACATTCAGATCTATTGGGACACCCAACTCTGCCAGGACACGCCTTGTCTTGCTAACAACGTGGGCATGCGGCTTCTGCTGTATTGGGCAAGTTAAAGATTATAAATAACAAGGCTGTGTGAATTGACAGAGTGGAGACATTTCAAACTATGGCGCACGTGTCTGCATGCTGGAGTTGCATGTGTGTAGTGATTTGGCGTTTGCTTGTATCAAGTCTGTAGTCCACAGTAGCACTACTGGTAATCGTAAGAGTATCTAAATACTACTGAGAAGACTGCGCATGATAATAGTTGTGTTATTGCTGAAATAATTGCAATCACATTCGCAATCATAGTTCATAGTCATATTGAAATCATAGTCATAGTCATAGCCACAGCTCTAGTGTGAGTCTCAGTCTTAGGCATAGTCATCATCATGATCATCCTCGTGGTCGTCATCATCGTCATCATCACGATCATCATCATCGTCATTGTCATCAAAGTCCTTCTAGCCATCATAACCATCATCCTTATCATAATTCGTAACCATCATATCCGCATAATCATCACTGTTATCATACTGGTAATAACAAGTGTCACCAATAGCAATACTGACGACAAAAACGAGACATAAACAACGAGAGCAATGAAAGCAGCAATAGTGTACGACGAAAGTAACGGTGGTGACAGAAGCAAATCAAGAATACTAGTTTCTAGTAATACCGCTTGTAGGACGACCAACAGAAGAAGATTTTGTGCTGCTGCTGCTGATGCTACCAGTACTACTACTACTACTACTACTACTGCTACTACTACTACTACTACTACTGCTACTGCTGCTGCTACTACTACTACTACTGCTACTGCTACGACTACTACTACTACTACTACTACTACTGCTGCTACTGCTACTGCTACTGCTACTGCTACTGCTACTGCTACTGCTACTGCTACTGCTACTGCTACTGCTACTGCTACCGCTACCGCTACCGCTACTGCTACTGCTACTGCTACTGCTACTGCCGCTGCTACTACTGCTACTACTGCTACTACGCTACTGCTACTACTGCTACTACTGCTACTACTACTACTACTGCTACTACTACTACTACTACTACTACTACTGCTACTGCTACTGCTACTGCTACTGCTACTGCTACTGCTACTGCTACTGCTACTGCTACTACTGCTGCTACTGCTACTGCTACTACTACTACTACTACTACTACTACTACTACTACTACTAGTACTACTACTATTGCTACTACTACTACTACTACTTCTTCTACTTCTACTACTACTACTACTACTACTACTACTACTACTATTGCATACACACAAATGTGCAGAGATGTCCGCTACAGTCATTAGTCCATTAGTCGTTTGTTCGTTCGCTCCTTCGCCCGTCCGTCCGTACGTCCGTCCATCCATCCATTTATTTAGCTGCTCTGTCGTTTTTCATAATTTGATTCATTTCTTCTTTCCTTCATTGCTTCTTTCATTCTTTCCTTTATTGACTTTTCGTCTAGTCATTCATTTGCATGTGTGTACTTCCCGCCATGAACCTAATGTTTTCGGTGTAAGCAACCCAAAGCGGCAAATCGATGAGTCTAGGATGCTTGGTAGTTTGCGCAAAACAAGATCGAAGTTTCAGCTTTAAGTAGGGACCCTGGTGTAGAACCTGAATTGTGTCACGTGTACTACATGGACCCTCGAAAAGGCAACCCCCCACATGGCAAGCCCCATATGCCACCCCGGACGCAGTTTGGAGTAACACTGTGCCTCGCAATCCGTCAGCACAGTCTAACTTCTCTTGCCGTCTCCGCCAGTCACTTCTTCAAACTTCACGCATCTAGAATCCTCATAACCGCCCTCCTTCAACATCGCTCACTTCATCCGTTGAACTTACGGATACTTGAGCCCCTGTGATTGGTCTATTCGCGTCTGTGGACTTGACTGCTGTGTGGCTTGTACAAGGGATGCTGCCTTGCCCGCTTTTGCAGCCGTTGCGGCCCAGGCAGGGGTTTCCCAGTAGTTAATGTACCCGGCAGCTGAGCGAATTCGCAGGCTTACTAAGCCTAAGCGCTTTGCAGCCATTTCGGTGCCGGAACGTGAGCACAAGGATGAAGGGTTCAACGCTGATTGACAGAGAACTGCAGGAGGTAGGCTGTTCTGCCAGTTCAATATCCTGAACCCTTAGCAGTCATAACACACTCAAGTCGACATGATGTCAGGAGACAGCTGCAGCTCAGCCATGTCTTCGCACCTTGTCCAGTCTTCAAAACGCTTGTGAGAGGGTGTTCATTGGCGTTTTGGGGTTGGTCAGGCGCGGGGCGCACGCTTTTGTGCAACAGCCTAACCTAATATGCAGAGAGACTCGGGATAGGGACGGCCGCTGCCATTGTCAGGGGGCGATTGAAAGGTTTGGCATGACTGAGGCGGCAGCTCAACCATGGTGTCAACAAGCAGCAACGTGTTCCATCCGTTTTTACAAGTCTCCATCGCAAGAAGATCATCCTGGGGTTTCTTATGTCCTGCTTGTCGCCTGACTTCGCTCATAGCTTGTGTTATCTTACCGTATCTTACTCTGCTCTCCATATCCCCTGTCGCCTTCTAGCATGCGCTATGTTCTGACGTTTCAAACTCGGAGTTCCTTTGCTCGTTTGGGTCCTCGGTCCGTGGTTCGTCGACTGGATTAAAACGTCTGACCGAGTGATGATTGTCTACAACAGAAGCTGTCGTCGTCAATGGTAGTACCTGTTTGCGCTGGGACGCAGGTTTTGACATGCCTTGTATGCTGGCCTTTTTCGCGATCAATGCCGATTGATTTGCACGCATGTGAGTCGTGTGCCAGCTTCATGGTGTGATATTTGTCATGTTGTTATCTCTCCGCAGACCCCCGTACTTAACCCCGAGATTCTCTGTCTTTCTCAAATCTGCTTCAGGGTCTGCTGATGTCAAGCTGGTGCAGCGATTTCTCCAACGTTCCTAGCTCCGAGGCTGGTTCGTTAAGCAAGCTGTGTATGGGGAAGTCGGCACAGAAGAATGGATTTCCGGAAGCTTGATCGTCTTATGTGCGCAGAAGCGCGCAGGATCCGAGGCTGGTTGTAGATTGTAGAGTAGTCATTGCGAGTATGTTGAGCCATTACACAGATCCGCTTTTTCAATATTAAACAGGACACTGCAAGGTTACTGCAAAGCACTGAAAACAACTGCCTAAAACCTTCAGACTGCACTGTAAGGTGCAGGCAGGCATCCATGCATGCATGCGCATGCGCGTGCACAAGCATGCGATTGCATGCACGTGCATGCAAAACAAGCACATGCGCATGCAACCTTGAAGCCTAAAAAGTTGTGATGCTAGCCACGCGTATGCACGCAAGCAGACACGCACGCATGCATGCAGACACTGATACATTCGGCAGAAGAGAAACGGTCTGGAAAACCGAAGAATGAGGCATGCTACAAACTGTTGTTTCCAAAACTGCCAATGTGACTGTTTAATCGGGACACCTCAGGGGGCAAGTCCGAGATCTAATCTTGGCACCTCAGGGGGCTGCCTTGCAGGTACACAGGACTGATCAGGTCCCGCTTCCCACTTGCATCCGCAGCTTCGTTGAGTATGGTAGGATGCAAGTGCCACACTCCCCTTCAACGATGGTTCGTGTAGGTTCTCGCTGTTGTGTGGAAAGAAAATCAAAAATGAGTGACCTTCTGTTCCCATGTGCTAGGGAAGTTCACACGCACACACACACACACACAGCCCCACATTGGGGCGATCGGCGGTTTTCCACCGTTGGTTCTGGCGTTACGGTGAGTCCCACGCAAAAACTCCGAAAGCACATTGGGAAGCAAAGATGAAATTGCATCCACAACGCCATCCAGCTCGTACGGACTTTGGCGTGCAGTTGTTCTGCGTGCAGATGCATCGATCACAGGTGGCTGCGCCACTGGATGAACCATGTCGTAGTCTTCAAAGGACTCCACGTAAGGTTGCTTGCACGATGTGGAAGAGGACCTTGTCATTACTGTGTCATTGTTTCACCGGGCATAGGTGTGCACGAACATAATGACATGCACACCGTAATCCGCTACGAACCATCATCTTAGCTACCCCGCGGCCTCTGTACACATGGGATGTTGCCGGCTCTGGGGGTGGTTCAGGTTTGCTATTGCAAATGGCATCCATCACGAAATCGCCAGTTCGTATTGGCCTCGAGCTTTTCTTCTCGAGCTTGTTCTCAGCAGGATGTTTCACATCTGCTTTGGCTTTTGAAGTCTTTTTGGACTTCTTTTCTTTGTACTTCTTGCTTTTCTTGCGAGAAGTTTTGTCCTTAGGACTCTTCTTCCTCTCACGGGATGATCGGGTTTCTTATGGAGGATCGAAAGCAGAATGCCACGAAGAAGCAGAAGAAACAGACGAAGGCGCAGCGGAAGTCATATCATCTTGTTGTGTCAGCCGCCTATCCATCAAGGGCTTGAGCAGCTGTTGATTATTTCAGACAAGAATGATCAAGAAACAACAAAAAGTTGCACGCAGCGGTTTGCTGTTGATTTTCAGCAGCATGTCGGCAGTGATGCAAAAGGATGAATTAATGCACGAGGCTTGGCGATTATCCGGACCATCCTCCCCAAGCTTCGGTGTCTTGAATGCATCGCTGGCTGATTCTGTCAGCAATCATCGGCATCATTGCCGGAGCAGGAAAATCAGCAAAGTCTTGATCTGCCACCACAATGATGAAATCGATGCGAGCAGCTGACTCTCTGATGGCCCATCTCTTATCCTTTGAGATTGAGTGCACGGCTGGGTGCAGCCGACACATAGAATTCTCAAGGATAGTGTTTGCGGATGGACTTTTTATAAATTGTCCACTTAAAAAGCCGCCAAACACAATGCCGGACGAGTTCTTGGTGCTCCAATTGAGGTTTGCAGCCCATTCAATGAAATTGTCGGTCCACGAAGGATTCGTGTGGCACTGACCGAAAAAAGACATAGACTCTTGATCCTCTCTGAGACCAAGGGTGTAAGCTGCTGTCCGGATGACTCGGCCAGCTGCTAATATGCCACAAGAGCCTGGCACATCAGAGCAGTGGGCCCGCGCCAAGCTTGATTGTCCCACAGGTTCAGGTCCAGGAAAAGACTGAACTTCAAAGAGATACATCTTGCTATTGCAGCCTGGCACTTGATAACTTTTGGCCGTTGGCTTGAAATGATTGGCCAATGTGATCTTCGCGGAAATTAGAGCCTTAGCGAAGGTACGGAAAATGCCGCTGTTCATGGATTGAGGCGGCGGAGCTTCTTGAAAGAGTGCTAAAAGCTCAAGGCAGACACCATCAATATCACTGTTGGTGATTGACGACCAAGGTCGGCAGTACGCAACAACAGCACGTTTCCGATCGCGAAGTTCTCGCATCTCGGCATGTTCAAAAATCAGCCAGGAGTCCGGAAAAAGACTGTTGCGGTAGTGCAACACAAATAGAACGTATGCAAGAAAAGGCGTGAGAGGATCTTTGGATTCAAAAGTCTCATAGTTCTCAGCCATGCCACTTTGTTGAAGAAGCTCAGTTCCTGTGGCGTGAATTGCATCCATAAAAGGCTGCTCTAGGTTCCGCGACTCGGGTTCAAAAGCGGACGATTGAGCATTCGATTTTCGAAGCTCTTCATCCAACATCTCGTCCGCGGTTTTTTCTTGAACAGGCGGGACAAAGTTGAAAGACTTGCCAGGTTCCTCAGGTTTGCCTGGGTGTTTCGGTGTTTCTTTGAAAAATCGAGCAAATGAAGAATCTTGGGGAGACGATTTGGTTGTCCCCTGGGTACCTCTAGGTACCTTTGGTGGTGACTTAGGAGGAGTCACCGGAGCTTGTTGGGAATCCACTCGTCATTTCCCCGGTTCTTTAACCTGAGACGGTGCAGAGGTTGGCTTGGAAGCTTCTTGTTGCTTCCCAGGCTCTTTGTCATGAAAAGGTGTGGTAGCCTCTGGGACCCTGGGGGCCTGAGAAGACTGAAAACTGGGTCTTCCCGTTGATGTAAGAAAACCGGGAGGTGGTACCCTGCATTGTGGAGGCTGTGGTTGCCACTGCCATTGGCCCGGTGGCGGTGCATTGTCACCATACCAATTGCCGGGAGGAACGTCAGAGGCAGGCCGATGCTGAGGTTGAGGTGCTCGGGCTGCAGGGGCCGATTTTGCCCTCGGAGGAGGGGTCTCCGACCGTGGAGGTGGATGCTGCGCACGATGAAGAGGAGACCGCCGAAAAGGAACTGCATCCACTGAATTGTTCCAGTCTCCGGGCGGTGCGGTTCCCGGTTTTCGAGACGGACGAACGTTGCGTGGTCCGCTGACTGCACCAGCCTGTTCTTCGCCTGGATCATGGCGATCTTGTCTGCTGCGGGATCGGTGCCGGTGGTGTCGTCTATGACGATGGTGGCGGCGGGGTGAATCGCCCTCCGATCTCGCTCGAATTGCACGTTGCTGGGGCGAGTTTGGAAGCGGATTATTCTCTCCCTGGTTAGGAGGCCCAGCGTAGAAATTGAACGACGTGGCGGGCTGAATCAAAAAGAAGAGCCGAGCTGTGGGATATTGAGGCTTTGTTTGGCTCAAGCAAACAGGAAAAACTCTTATGTGGCACAGTGTACTATGCCGTGCAGCATTTTTTACTCGGACGATCTCCTCTGTTCGAGGAACGACGTGCCGGCTTTGGCCAAAAGCTGAGGGTCATACCCGAAAGTTGTGTATGTCCGAATCAAAGTCTGTGCATCAGCTTCGGCTTGCGAAAATGGAAAAGCTGTTCGGCTGGCCAGACAAATTCTGGGATTTAAAGTAGTTCCCAGAAACTCTCCATCAAGTACCGCCTCTAATTCCACTGGATGTTCGTAAAAGAACGGAGAAAGGAATTGCTGGAAAAACCATCGTTGGGCTGTCTGTTCGGAACATAGCACCAACCTGTTGTCCACATAGCGAACTATGTAGACTTGTGATCGTAAGGCTTCCAAAGCCAGACGATTCGAAATAGACCACTGATGTTCTTTGTACGAAATCGCGACATTGGCCAGAGATGGAGAAATCTGGTTGCCAATGACGGAGCCTCTTGTTTGCTTAAAAATTCGCCCCATCTGCGAAAAGAAGGACGTCTGAAGCGAAAGCTGACAGATAGCGGACAAGTCCTTTAAAAAGACTATGCCGGTTTTTGATCTCTGGCGCTTGTAGCTGCCTTGAAAAACTCGTAGTCGTGGTTCAGAAGCCCCGAGCTGTACAGTGAACTTGATCTTGTCAAAAGGCCGTGTTTGCATAGCAGCATATGAGTCGATCAGATGATTGACCGCTTCCATAATCTGCTCGGTGGGCAGACTTGTGAAGAAGCCCACGAGATCCTGATTGAACTCTTTGAGTTCAATGTCCTCCTCAGCAGTGGACAAAAACTGATGCAGGCTCCTGAAGATGTCAGGTAGGGATTGATGGCCATAGCTTTGAGGAAAAACGGGCAGCAGAATGTTGAGAACACTGCTAGCTGCCTGGAAAAGACGGCCAAAAGCGAAATGTCGATAGGAAATAATTGGTCTGGCGGCCAAGAACTGTTTCTTCTGCTTCAGAAGAAGATAAGAGCAGGGTAGCTTTGCTGTTTCCTGCACTCCCCAACTGTACCGTCGAAGCCAAGGCTTCTTGGTCAAGTTGCCAAGAAAAGCTCTAGCTTGGCTGGGCGTCAAAAGAGATGGCAAGTAGACGTTTTCATCCCCGAAGGTGCTGCGAAGTATTCTCCAGCAGAAAAGGGGGCAAAAAAAACATGCAAATGGTGGGGAGCATGGTCCCTACCTTGCACAACGAAGCCATCAATGACAGATTTGATGTACTTGACATCGTCGAAAGAAAGTGGTGTCTTGCTGTTAACGAGATGCTGCGACCATTGATCACAGACGAATCTTTCCCATTCGGGAAAGGTCACGTTGGGTACGAAGTGACATTTGGCCCACCGTTGTACCTTCTTCCACGTGTCATTAAGATACGAGGTTCGAGCGGGGTACACCTGTGATTTGGCACTGGTGCCAAGTAGACAACGAAGTCGCCTGGAAACAGAAAGTTTGTCCAGAGGCGAGGCGACGTGCCAATGTCCATCTTGAGGATGAACTACCCCAGCCACGTAAGGGTGCTGATGGCGGAATTCAGCACAACGACAAACTGGCTGACAATCCCAGGAAAACTGAGCCATCATGGCATGGTGGTTCGTCAGCGTGGTGCCCAGCGAAGAATGGGCAGCAGAAACGACATGGCAGGGAGGCAAATGAAAAGGAGTAAGGAACTCCTTAAAAGGCATAATTCTCTTCTTCAGCCACTTCTTGGTTGGTGGCGTTCCGGAAATCAACGTGAGACAGAAAAGGAATCTTGATCGGGCGTGCTTTTGGAGGAGCGTGTCCGCCTTTAAACGTCAGCACTCGAGTCAAGATGCTTTGCACCAGACTTTTGGGAGGTTCCTCTAGATTGTTTGACAGCCGGAAAAGTGCATAGATGTGTGTCAACGAATAAGAGCAAGACCGTAGTCGTCGCTCCATGTTAAATGAAGCGAGAGACCTTTCAGCCAGAATCGTTAAACCATCCAAGAAGAATGCACTTCTTGTGTTGTAGGGCTGTACAACGATAAAGCTCCCAGCTTGTGCAGTCTTGCACGGAGTTTCTTGTGCAGAGGACGACCTGGAACACTGTAAGACGAAGGATTCGTCGAATTGCACATGAATAATCCGGACGCACTTTCGTCATCCTTTTTTTCAGGATGAACGGGTAATTTAAAGGTGGATTCCACCTCTGAATAAGAGTGAGCTCCAATGTACGGATTTGACGAAGAGATTGCATGGTCGCCAAAGGAATAACAAATGAGATGCCGGAGGCACTGGCGCGAAACCTGCCAACGCAGTACGAGCTCAGCATGAACCGGTTTCAGGTCCATGAGTTGGCGAAGCTTTCTGAGACGGGTATCCTGCCTCTTCTGGATAGAAACAGTGGTGGAGCCAACATAAAAGTCTGGCCCAATCTGGAAAAAAGGCTCAATTTGAGCAGTGGTTAAAAGATACGCCGCATAGGGCTCGAGAAACATGCGGGTTACAGAGATCGCGGAAATAAAATTCCGATCATGAAATCCTTCAAACTCTTGAAATCGTTGGCGCCAACGAGCCAGATTTCCTGTGACAGTTTGGCGAAGAAGAAGAAGAACCAACACCACAAAAGCACCCAACACCCGAAAACCAAATCGCCAAGGCATGAACTCTGGCTCGGTAATGGCAGCCTGTAAGCAAGTTTTTGACATGGAAAGGATGGTTTGCATCCGTTGTCGACACTCGTTGTCGAGCACAAGATCGTGTTTTTGTCCTCAAGTCAAGATGCCAAGGCGCACGCTGCCAAGACGATCTTCAAAAGATCGGCCTCTTTGGCTCCTGATAGTGAGCGGACAGGAAAACCAAAATCAGCAGCTCGTTGCGGCAAGACTTCTTTGTCTTCATCGGAAAGTGCTTTGATGGTAGTATTCGCTGCTTTGCAGCTTTGTAAAAGCTCTTGTTTGAGCTTGGACTCCAAGTTCAAATTTTGGATCCACTTTGATGTGGATTGGGGAACTGCAGAGACAGGAGCTTGATTTTCAAGAACCCGTTGAGCTGGAAAACGAGGGTCAAAAGCTTTCTGCAGTAAGGTTTGAGTCGACTTCGTCGATTCGCTTCCCGATGGGCTGGCAATCGGCAGCCGTCGCTTCTTTTGACTATCGGTGGCTTGAGTTGCTTCCGAGGTCCTTTTCGGCCCTGGCTTCACAGAAGAGCTCGCTGCTGGGACACCTTTCTGTGCTTCAACAAGCTGTTGCTCAAGCTCACGAATACGATCCTGAGCATCACAGAGCTCCTTTTGTTGAAATTCTTTGCACCGGTCAAAGACATACTCACAAAAGTGCCGCATTTTGGCACTTTTTTGAGATGATTCGTTTTCGTTAGCATCAACCTTGATGCCTTGTTGGTTGCAATATACAGAGGCATACTGATCCAAGTCAGCTTTGCTTTCCCGGAACTTCTGCATCAGGAACGACATAAAGGTAGCTTCTTTTATGGATCGAGCGAAAAGTATGCTAGCATACCGGCCTTGGGCCAGGCTGCGGAGAGAAAAGTTATTCCATCCTTGCCAACATAGCTCATGCAATTTGATGGAAGTTAAATCCCTGCCAGCAAGCTGATGCTTTTGAGCCCAGCTGGATGCCTGTATCTGGCGAGGAAATTGCAACCCATATACCTTGGTGTCGTAGAAATCACGATCACTTCGAAAAGTTTTAGGAAGATCAGTCTCATAGTGGTTGGAAGGGCCCTGAGGGCTTCCAAACTCTTTGGTTTTCGGAACTTTTGGAGGCTTGGACGGCACTGGGGGAGGCTGTTGTCCCCAGGTTCCGTTTCTCCACGCATCCCATTCTTCTTGAATCCAAGACATGCTTGGATGTAGCTGATTTCCGGAACGTCGTGAAGAATCAAGGAAAGAATCAAGAAATCATTCAAGAAATCATTTACATTGAAAGGAATCAAGGAATCAGTCAAGTGATCAGCAGCATGCAAGGATTTGTCGAATCAAGATGCTGCGTTCAAGATCTTGATCGATTGCATCACGTAATGAATCAAGTTGCTACGCCCGGCCCTTTGACAGAATGCCGGTCGAGAACACACTTGCAAACTCCATGGTGGGAGTAGCTAGGTTTACTGCACTTGCCTCAAGCAAAACTGCACTCATATGGGGTTTGTGGCTTGGCCCCAGTGCCATTCCAATGCATTCGCTAACACTTCAGCAAGGATGTTATACGATGTCACAAGCTGCAGGTACATGTTCCGGCGTCCCAGAACACATCACCATGGAAAGCTGGCGTCTTTGTTAGCGGGGTCCAGCAATCCATG